ATGTTCCTCGCATTTGCCGGTGAATCATGGAATGTGGTTTAGCGATAAGTTAACTCATGTAGTGGTGTTATGTTAACAGTTGTACACACTCGGTGGTGTTGATAAGGATATTTGGGATTTTAAACGATTGAAGAACCGATTGTAGCAACCAGGTTGACCCTGTAAGCCTTAATGGCGAAGTCGCGATAGATTACAGCATGAAAGAATAGTATGAGAAAAGAAGGTAAGAGAGTGAGATAAGACGTTTCGGTCCATTAAGTCATATACGCCTTAACTCAACACCGCGACAGGACCTCGTCAGGATGATGGTTGCAGTGAAAAGCCCTTGCTCCTTTTTATCCCTGTGCGAAAGTTGAGTTCGGATTATGGAACTATGAACGACTTATGCACTTTCATCGAATTGCAGCAAAAATGTATTACAACTGCGAATGAGCGGGATATCAGTTTTCATTCTCGAGAATTACGGTTATATCTTTGTTTCAGGCATCATTCGTGAAACACATGGTTTCTGGAAAAGTCTTATCAAGGAAAAAACACCACAGTTGAATACCGAAACAACATGCGGCGAAGAAGAGGCGGCTCATCGCGCAGATGAAGGATCGTGGAAGAAAATTATTGCTGAACAACCAGCACACTCCTCGGCTAAGGAAATCCCAAGAACTCTTGAAAAATGGCATTTTATTACTGAATAATTTAAAGCGATTATTGAGGAGAGCAATTTTATTGTTTTGAGAATTTCGCATCTTTGTTTTCTGTGCTATTAAGCTAACAGGTTTTTGTGAAAAAACCACGTTTTTGGCTATATAAAACTTACTGAGATGCACCTTTTTTTCGAAAACTTCTTCTGTAGTTTAAATCGACTCCGCTTATCACATTTACGAATGCTATTTGGTTGATTTTTATTTCCTCTCAAATACCGGAAAAAATGTTTTTTTGCTGATTTTTACTAAAATTCTGTGAGGTACTTCTTTTCAGTTCTAATACGAAGGAATCGATGAAAGTAGGAAGAGTTAATCGTTTTCGAGTAAAAAAAATACTAAATTTTTCTAAATTATAGGATCTTCGCATGGATTTTCACTTTGTTAAACGACGGTTTGTGTTTTTTCTAAATTTTACATTTGCTTGCTATAATGTTTGGGTTTATTTTGTCTTTTAAGAAGGCTTTTCTGAATTTTCCTAACTTTTTTAATACTGTAATTTCACATGAATAGCCCGAGCGATTTTGTTTTGCTAATTTTTTGTGGGATTTTAATTGATCCAGGGAAATTGATATCGCAACAGAATCTTTATCCACTTAGTACATTTGTGTCACAATCTTAAGCTTGCTTCTAAGCAACCTTCTTAAAAATGGGCCATCGGTAGCCTTCCGAGAGTAGATGATTGCTGCTGGCATGTTTTCGCTCGGTATCTCCTCACTTCTCATATTTTCTTCGTGAACTATGCCGCTCAAAGCCTGTTATGGGAAAACTTCATTTCTTGTGCTTTATTTTACCTTTAACTCTTTGTTATTGGTCAGATTTGTGAACGTATAACAGAAGCAAGTCACAGGGCTGATATTGTGCTGGATGAGTCAATAATTCTATGATAGAAAAGGATCCTGTGTTTGTTTTTTGTTAAAAATATTTGACCAGAATTTTGGCCAAATTTGCGACTTAAGGCATTCGTCGAAAATCTGCCGGGCGAGGGAGGGGGGAGGGGGG